GGCCAGAGTGCAGTGGCGCGATCGGCTCACTGCAACCTCCGCCTCCCGGGTTCAAGCAATTCCCCTGCTTCAGCCTCCTGAGTAGCTGGGACTACAGGCGCCTGCCACCACACCCGGCTAATTTTTGTATTTTCAGTAGAGACCGGGTTTTTCACCATGTTGGCCAGGATGGTCTTGATCTCTTGATCTTGTGATCTGCCTGCCTTGGCCTCCCAAAGTGCTGGGATTACAGGCATGAGCCACCGCGCCTGGCCTCCTCTTTTTCTTTTTAAAGGAGCGTGATCAACATACTGTTCTATACTTTTTTCAAATATTCTACCTGGGTATCCGGAGATTGTTCCATGTCATACAGAGAGTGCATGTGTGTTGATGAATCTGTAAAGCCCCCAGGATCAGGCAGAACGTACCCAGCAGGCTATCAGAGAACATTTGGTCTGCAGGCTGGGGAGGATGGGGTCAAGGAGGGACTTTCCAGCAGTGAGGAGACTGAGCAGCAAGCAGGGAATCTGCAGTCAGCCTTTACCTGAGCATTTTCACTGAGCACAACCTGCACACTGAGGAATGCTGGACAGGAGGCAAAAGCTCTCCTTAGGCCCATGCAATTACGGATATCCCGGAGGCTGGGTGATTCCTACCCCTGAGACCCACCAGTCTCCACACTTTCCCGGGAAGGGGCCGGTCTGGAGGACAAGTGCGAGGCAGATGGTCCAAAGGCTGTGGTTCCCAGGGCCAGGGCCCCACTCTGCTCATCCTTCATGCATTCTCCCAAGGGGCTCCCTTCACAAGCTGTTGTGAACTCGAGCTTGTAACCCCCACAGCATGCGGGAGCAGGCTGGATGCCATTCTCTTGCACTCCACTGCCCTTAAACACTCCAGAGCTGGACACTGACTCCGCCTCCCCTTGCTGTTTCTTTTGCTCAGCTAGAAGTAAGGAAAGCTTTGTGTGCTTGTGTTTCAGGCGTCGTGCAGCATTTGCAGAATGGCCAGCTGCTGAGGGACATCTATCTAAAGAAACATAAACTCCTGCCCACTGACTGGTCTGCAGACCAGCTCTATTTAGAGACCACTGGGAAAAGCCGGACCCTACAAAGTGGGCTGGCCTTGCTTTATGGCTTTCTCCCAGATTTTGACTGGAAGAAGATTTATTTCAGACACCAGCCAAGTGCGCTCTTCTGCTCTGGAAGCTGCTATTGCCCGGTGAGAAACCAGTATCTGGAAAAGGAGCAGCGTCGTCAGTACCTTCTACGTTTGAAGAACAGCCAGCTGGAGAAGACCTACGGGGAGATGGCCAAGATCGTGGACATCCCCACCAAGCAGCTCCGTGCTGCCAACCCCATAGACTCCATGCTCTGCCACTTCTGCCACAACGTCAGCTTTCCCTGCACCAGAAATGGCTGTGTCGACATGGAGCACTTCAAGGTAATTAAGACCCATCAGATCGAGGATGAAAAGGAGAGACGGGAGAAAAAACTGTACCTTGGGTATTCTCTCCTGGGTGCCCACCCCATCCTGAACCAAACCATCAGCCGGATGCAGCGTGCCACTGAGGGCAGGAAAGAAGAGCTCTTTGCCCTCTACTCTGCTCATGATGTCACTCTGTCACCAGTTCTCAGTGCCTTGGGCCTTTCCGAAGCCAGATTCCCAAGGTTTGCGGCCAGGTTGATCTTTGAGCTTTGGCAAGACAGAGAAAAACCCAGTGAACATTCCGTCCGGATTCTTTACAATGGCGTCGATGTCACATTCCACACCTCTTTCTGCCAAGACCACCACAAGCGTTCTCCCAAGCCCATGTGCCCCCTTGAAAACTTGGTTCACTTTGTCAAAAGGGACATGTTTGTGGCCCTGGGTGGCAGTAGTACAAATTATTATGATGCATGTCACAGGGAAGGATTCTGAAAGGTGTGCAGTGCAGCGGGATAGAATCTGTGCCAGTCAGAGCACTGGGAAAGGTCCACTGCTAGTTCTGTCTGTTGCTAAGGGTAGAAGATTATTGCTTCTCAAAGGCTAAATATTGTTTGTGGGAACCACAGACGGCTGGGGGTTGAACAGTAAGCACGTTGCTATAATGCGGTATGTGAATTGCTTGGTACAAAATAGCCAGTTCACAGAGGAGTAGAAGGTACTTTGTCTTGGGCAGACTTTGCTTAGAATACCAGAATGATATAGTTCAAGACTCAAAGTCACCGATCCAAGTTTGCGCCCTTCGGCCTGCCTCATGGTATTGTGTGATGGAGCCAGCACACCTCAGCCAAAATTTTTTTAATCTTAGACATTTTTATCTTGTCCTTGCTAAGGATTTCTTGAAGTGATTTATCTAAAATAGGGGTTGGCAAACTTTTTCTGTAAAGGGCCAGATTGTAAATATTTCAGACTGTGTGGACCAAAAGGCCACATGCAGTCTCTGTCACAACTACTCAGCTCTGCTCCTGAAACAGAAAAGCAACTACAGACAATACGTAAAGGAATGCATGTGGCTGGGTTCCCGGGCCAGACAGACAGGCGATGGCCAGATTTGGCCCCTGGGCTGTAGTTTGCTGACCCCTGACCTTAAAAATAGGCTATACTACAATTGCACTTCCAGCACTTTGAGAACCAGTTGAATGCCAAGAATTTTTCGATGGTTTTTCCAGTAACTTCTGCTAGAAACACAGAATTGGGTCTGTATCTGACACTAGAACAAAACTTGAGGGGAAATAAGCTGAATCAGAATGACTCATAGAAAACTGATTAGAAGAATACTTTATATTCATGATGATTGTGGTACAAGATAGTTTTAAGTACATTCTAAATATTTGTCCGCTGTAGTCTATTTGCTGTATATGCTGAAATTTTTGTATGCCATTTAGTATTTTTATAGTCTAGGAAAATATTTTCTAAGACCAGTTTTAGAGGACTCTGATTCCTGTAGTAATGTTCAATTTACTGTACCTGTTTGGTGGTTAGACGGAGGCTAGAAGACGAATTCAGGCACATTCTTCCAATAAAGCTAATTATGGCTCATTCCCTTTGACAAGCCGTAGAATTGAATTCGTTTTTAAACCATTTTCATCAGTTTCAAATGGTAAATTCTGATTGATTTTTAAATGTGTTTTTGGAAGAACTTTGCTATTAGATAGTTTACAAATCTTTATAAGGCGTTTTATATATTAGAAGCAATTATGATTCCATCTGTGATTTCTGAACTAATGGTGCTAATTCAGAGAAATGTAAAGTGCAAGTGAGATTCTCTGGTGTCATTAGCATTCCAGCTTTCTCTCTGTTTTTGTCCAGTGTTGCATTTGAATATGTCGGTTTCTATCAATAAATTTTTGCAGAATACCTATGATCTACAACTAATGATTTGTACCTATAAGTCACTCTAGTTATTTTCAAGTGAGAGCCAGTATTTTCTTTTTCCCCCTTCATTCAAATGTCATGCAGAGAACCAGTATTTTAAAATTTCACCTTAATTGCTTCACTTATTGCTGAAAGTTGTGTTACCTCTCAAGTATTCAAAGACTGAATGTGGTTTTTTTCTTCCCACTCACAATATATCTGAATTAGAACTGCTAAACACAGCTTGAAGCTTTAAAAATAAAAGCGACTCAGAAGATTTCTTTAAAAATCAGTTCATAGTATATGTTGGTAAAAGTAAATATTGTGCCTAAGAGGCAACATCAAAAGTGTGGAGAAAAATTTTGTCTTCTAAGACACTGGGTATGCACAGCATTAAAACATCTTCCTCAGTATCAAGTTCCGAGAGACTTCATTCCATAACAGCACTGAGCACAGAGGTGAGAGTAGTGGGCATAGTCATAGCCCTTGGTTTCTGGGCAGTGGTCCGATGACTCCATTCATGACAGGCCTGGGAGTATACATGCATCATTTAGCTTTCTTGTTTTTTTTTTTTTTTTCTTGTTTTACGATTAATATATGCCCACTAGAAAATCACCAATACTGAAAAACAACTTCAGAATGAAGTTCTCCACCTCCAGAGGTAACATTGTGAGCTGTCTGACAGATACTCTTCTGGAAAAGTTCCATGCAGATTCAGAAATATATGTAGTTTTTAACAGGAACTAGATAATTTTATGTCTATAAAATGTGACTTGCTTCCCTTAAAAATATTTTTTATTGTATCTTTTTTTTTTTTTTTTGAGAAGAAGTCTCGCTCTTGTCGCCCAGGCTGGAGTGCAATTGTACAATCTTGGCTCACTGCAACCTCCGCCTCTTGGGTTCAAACAATTCTCCTGCCTCAGCCTCCTGAGTAGCTGGGATTACAGGCACCCGCCACCATGCCCGGCTAATTTTTGTACTCTTAATAGAGATGGGGCTTCACCATGTTGGCCAGGCTGGTCTTGAACTGACCTCAAGTGATCCGCCCATCTCAGTGTCCCAAAGTGCTGAGATTACAGGCGTGAGCCACCATGCCTGGCCACTTATATCTTTTAATAGTATGTGTTGGAAGTATTTCTCATTAACTCGCTTCCCTTAACAGTATGTCTTAAAGATATTTCCATGTTAAGATGATAGGTGGTTGATTGATAGCGCTGTGTATCAATGTAGGTGGCTCTTCATAGCCACTGAATAATATTTCATGGTATATATTAGACACATTTTTAAAATCTCATTTAAAATCCATGAAATGGAAACTTAAAGCCAAGGTACTAAAACAGGACTACAAGGCTTTACAGAGAACAAAGCAGAGGCTTTTTCATTGCGGCTGTGGGTATTTGTTATGTAAGTTTTCTTTCTCTAACTTCACTTGAAATGGAATTGAGGAACTTAATCTAATATTGCTATTAAGCCTATTTAAGGGTTTTCATAGCTATAGCAGAATTAGACTTTCTGGAAGATTTAGGTGATTTCTTTTTCTAGAAGTCTTAAAGACTGATTAGAGAGAGGCAGGGATAGATGCTTCTATTTCTCGGAATCTCTGGGAAGCCTGCTGAACAGATTTAGCAGCTCAGACAAGGGTGGGTGTGCTCTGGTGTGTTTAAACACAACCGCAAATAGCAGAAAATAGCTGGGGTTTACATTGCAGCTGTGGCTTTAACAGAGCCAGCACAGAGTTCTGGCCTAAACACCAGTTAACTCCCACTGCCCAAGGCCACTGAACTGGAAGTTTAGATTGTACTGCTGTATTAGTGCCTGCCCAGGAGCCAGCTCAGATGAGTAATAGCTTCTGCTGAAGAGGAAGCGGCTGAGCTCGTCAGAGCAGCTGGGCAGCCCTTCTTGAAGCCTCACTGCCAGCGGAGACCGGCCCTGATGAGAAGTCATCCCTGAGGGCCAGCTCAGCTCCTCAGAGCTGCAGAGCCCCTCAGCAGAGGGATGGCCTGAGGCCTGCCTTCCGGACAGCTTTGTCAGCAGCAAAGGTGCCAGCTAGTGCCAACTACATGGGTTCCACAAGTGCTTCTTTATCAATCTTCACAACATACTGACGAAAGTCCTAGTTCCCTAAAAATGAGGAAAACAGGCTGGGGTGGGGGTGGGGGAGCCTGGCAGGGGTTGAAGTCACTTTTTCAAAGGAAGAGTCAGAGCTGAGTCTAACTCTAGTCCACATGGTATCAGTGAACCGAAGAGCACTTATAGCGAGGCGCAGAGGCTTATGCCTGTAATCTCAGCACATTGAGAGGCCGAGGCAGGAGGATTGCTTCAGCCCAGGAATTTGAGACGAGCCTAGCAACAGAGAGAGACCCTATCTCTACAAAAAATTAAAAATACAAAAATTAGCCAGGAGTGGTGGCACATGCCTATGGTCCCAGCTCCTTGGGAGGCTGAAGTGGAAGGACTACTTAAGCCCAGGGGAGCTGAGGTTCCATTGAGCTGTGATTGTGCCACGCACTCCGCCTGGGTTACAGAGTAAGACCCTGTCTCAATAATAATAATAATAAAACTATATGAGATACCGTAGGAAACTTTGCACCATTTCATTAATCTTCACAATAGTCCTACAAGATACTGTATTTGCTGTCAAATATCAATAAATAATGTAGTGGGGTTAAAGCAGTTCTACATTAAAATCTAAATGTTTAAGGGAATATTCGAATACTGCCTCTAACCATCTGTGGCTTGCTATTCTTAAGAAAACTTACATTGTAAAATGTACCTTTGCAGCAGTTATATTACATTTAACCACTAGAGGGCAGCATCACACAATTTTTCCAGTCTTCCGTCTGTAAAGGAAGCAGGGTGGTTTGAGGGTGTTTTAGTAGGTTGACCAGGTGTCCCGGTTTGCCTGGCACTGAGTAGTTTCCCAGGATGTGAGGTTTTCAGTGCTTAAAAACCAGAAAAGGGCCGGGCGCGGTGGCTCACACCTGTAATCCCAGCACTTTGGGAGGCCGAGGCGAGTGGATCACGAGGTCAAGAGATCGAGACCATCATGGCCAACATGGTGAAACCCTGTCTCTACTAAAAATACAACAATTAGCCAGGCATTTGGCAGGTGCCTGTAGTCCCAGCTAGTTGGGAGGCTGAGGTGGAAGAATTGCTTTAACCCAGGAGGCGGAGGTTGCAGTGAGCCGAGACTGTGCCACTGCACTCCTGCCTGGCGACACAGCAAGACTCTGTCTCAAAAAAAAAAAACAAGAAAGTCCCAGGCACACTGGAGCAAGTTGGTTACCCTAGTGTTATATGTTGAGACAGTTGTGAGAATATTACTGTCATTCCCACGTTCACAGAAAAGGGAACCAGGAGGAGTAGCTCGTCGGAGGTGCCACATGGTTGCTGGGGTGCAGCAGAGCTGGACTCCCGCTGTGCCCATTTCACATGCAGGACCATGCTCTTAAGCAGGGCACATGAGAAAGCCTCTGGAACCATTTAGGACTGCCTTTGGTTCCGTGCTACAGAAACCTGATGACAGTGACCTAAACAAATAAAGCCTTTCACTTTCACCCGTGGCGCCATGATGTCATCAGGAACCCAGACTCCTGTTGGCCTCTCACTGGCCAGACTGGGGCCCCTTGGCTACCTCTACTGTGAAGGAGTCTAGGAAAATGAGGATTTTTACTGGGCACACTGCTGTCCCAAACAAACTCAGCCTCATTTTACTTGGGAAAAAAGGGAAAGTGGGTACTGAGTAGAGAACTAGCAGTGACTAGCACACTCTCCAAAGCCACCATTACACTGAAGGTGTGGATGCTGCTCCACCCAGATCCCCCACTTCAGGACTTCTTTCCCCCGCTGCTGGTGGTGCTCAGCTGTCAGTGCCTTCAGGGCACTGCTCTGGAGCAGGGAGCCATCTGCCGAAGGACATGCTCCTTCCCAGTGCAGCCACATCCAATGATTGGTCAGAATAGGGATTGGAAGACCCGGGGACAACCCCGAGGGGCCATCCCAGCTTCAGAGCTCCCTTGGGGTCAGCCAAGGTCCTGTGACTGCACCACAGCCCATCTTCTGCTTCATCCAGCATCCTCCAAGGTGTTGACTCGAGAGCACACCCCAGCAATCCCCTGTACACATGTCTGCCTCAGAATCTGCCTCCTGGGAACTGCCTTGCAATGAAAGGCAAGCAATCCTGGAGGCTAAGGTCTCTGCTAGCATGGGCAGGAGAGCTTGACTCATTTCTAGGAAAGGGATAAGTATTGATGACCAACAGATTTTCTATCACTGCCTTTGAGAGGCTTACCATTTTATTGCAGAAGCTAAGAATGCACATATGAAGCAGTAGGAAAATTATGATTTCAGACAATCCAAAGCTAATTACAGAGGGCTGTTCCACCGTGACTTACCATTCATTGAACACATACCATGGGCTGGACACTGGGCTGAGCATTCAACTAGCATAGTCTGTGTATCTCACAGTATGAGCGACCACTTGAAGTAGGCATTTATTATCCTCATTGTACAAGTGAGGAAAGGCTCTGAGCTCTGAGGCTCAGAGGTGGACATGCACCTAAGATCACATAGTCGACAGTAAACGGCCAGCTCGGGACTGGAATATGGATTAGCCTGGGCTACCACGCTCTTCCAGGTTCCTCTAGCTTAGCGCCTCTCCCTGCACCCCTAGTCTACTGCATCCACACAAGTGAGGAAGCAAACTTGACACGTGGGCTACAGTCAAGAGTCTATTCTGCTCGCGGGGATGATCCCCTTCTTGCATCTGTTATGAATATTCATATTTCTAGCTCCCTTTCTTTCTTTTCCCATTTTTTCCTAATGTACCTTTTCCAAGAAAATAGAATCTTCTCATAATAGATTGTTTTAGCCTGGGGTCCCCTGAAGCCGGGTCTGAGATAAAAAGCTTAAATGCTAAGTGTGTTAGGGGGTGTGGTCCCAAAGGAGCAGGAATGGAAGACGGAGGGGACAGAGGGCAAGAAGGGAAAGCCAGTGTAAGGACGCACAGGGCGACTGGGCGC